GTTTGTGGCTGCCCCAGCCTGCTCAGGAGCTTTCCCAGCCCGGGATCATTGGCACGGAGCCTGTGCAAATACTCCGTGGCTGCAGAGTTTCTCCTCCGTCCTTTTCAGGTTAGGTAGTGTTGGACAAACACCGGTGTTTGTTCTTTAGGGTATCATCTTCTACCCGCTCCTTTCAGACAGCTTTGGAGCCTGCCTGGGAATACAGATTGCTAGGGACTATGAGTTTTTGTTTTGGTGGAGGTATCACGATAGCTTTGCTTGTCTGCCTGTACGGGAGCTGGGTCCCGCCTGCCCTGGCTGACAGGTAGCCTGAACGCCGCTGAGCCCGAACTGAGAGTCAGAACAGGAGTTTAATGTTGTTTTGGGTGTCAGAGCAGGTGATGCAAGTGCAATCCTGGGCATCAGAGCAGGTGACGTGAGTGCAGCCCTGGGGCTCTTCCTGCCTCCCTTGCAGGTGTAGAGGGCTGCTTGGCTGGGTGCTCACCCCTGCCATGTGCCTGCTGCAGCTGAGATGCAACCGTGCTGGCTTCACCCAGCGCCTTGCAGAGCTGTCAGGCCCCAGCACCACCGCAGGACACCGGTTTGGAAAGCCCTGCAGGGCTTTGCGCTTGCTCACCGCCTTTTCTTTCTTCCAGGCAATGCAACAAGACCTCCAACGGGAGCGACAGCTGTGACTTGATGTGCTGCGGCAGAGGCTACAACCCCTACATGGACAAAGTGGTGGAGCGATGCCACTGCAAGTACCACTGGTGCTGCTACGTGACCTGTAAAAAGTGCGAGAGGACTGTCGAGAGATATGTGTGCAAATGAGAACCCTCCTCTCTCCTCCCGGGAGCTGAGACACCAGCGGCACCCCAGCACTATTCAGAGAAAACATTTCCCCGACTAGACGTCGCTTATCTCGTAAGGACACAGACTTGAAGAAAGATGGTAGGAGGGGAAAAAAGCAATCACACCAATAAAAATAAGACCCTTAAAAAACCAACCAAACCCACAAATGTTTTCCCCACCAATAAAATGCTCTCTGAGAAGACAAAAACTCATTTGGGATGGTATCTTCTTCCAAAATATTTCCTACGGTTGCCAATGATGTCCAGCCATCAAGTGCCTTAGTATTTTGAGAAACAGAAGTAGAAACTTTCCCCGGGGAAGAAAAGCAACTCTTGTTTGAAAATAACTAAGGCTCACACCTGCCTATGCCTTCTAGCACAGGTACTGAGTCTGCATTAGGACCATCCCAGAAGGGAAAACGCTGCAACTTTTCAGCAATAACTGCCTTTGTTGCCAAAGACTTAATTTTTAGCATGGAAGCATCCACTCCGGATGATAAAGGTGGAAAGATTTCAGGTCAATCCCCTGAAATGAACGACTCATTTTAACCTTTCTTTTACGCAGGTCTGCGACTTCGAAGTTACTGATGCAGGAAAAGCTGTCCATGATTTTTCCAGGCTGGATGGGGTTTCAAATTCAGCCATGCAAAAACTCCCGTGGGATCCCGGAGGCAGTGAGAATAGGGTACCCTGAGAAGGGCTTTATGGGGTCCATGAGATTGTAGTGGAGCTGTTAGGATAAAGTAACAAAACGAAGTCAAAATCCTGTGGGGAAAGTAAAAAAAAAAAACCCGCTCCTGCTTTCTTTCTCTCTTGTCCTTTGGGTGTGATGCCCTTAGTCACCGATGTCCTGCCACGTTGGGCCATCAAGTCCTTAGGGAATTACGCCGCTGCCTCTTTTTCCCCTGCGAAACTATTGGCCCAGCCCCAAGAAACTGCGGAGCGCGGAGCGGGTCCGGTCCCGGCTGTAGGGAGTGCAGCCGTGCAGGGCAGCAGCTCTTCCCCACAGAAGGGAGCGGGAACGTGTCAGTCCTTCATGTGGCCCTGCCCTGACACAGCGGAGAACCACTATCTGTGGCTGTACATATTTTCTTTTGTACGCGGACATACAGAAATATTTATAAGATATATCTCGCGCTTTTCGTCTACTCTACTTCCTACATAAATATATCTATATGTTATAAACAAGCATTAACAATAGTATGAAATAAATGCTGAAGTTACTGGTGCAACAGCAAAATGTTAGATTATTATGTTTCACTCTCCTACTTGGAAAGCAACCCTGCTTTCCCTCCCTAGGACGGGAGAAGAGCATGGCTCGAGGCACTCGCTGGCGTGGGATAGATAAGTTCCTTTATTCCCTGTCTCCCCAGCCTCTTCATTTTGAGCAGAATTAGCCAAGATACAGTCAAGACAATGAAACAGAGCACTTGGAGGAAGGAAGAGTCACCGTTTTTGTTTTGCTTTTTATATCAGCAATCACTCTCATCAGTAAAATATCCCAGTGCCCCCAGGAGCGTAATAACAAACGTGACTAATACTTCTCATGGGTGGTTTGCTCCTCGCTCCTGCGTGTTGCAGGAGTTGCTGTTCATTGGAAGTGTTAGCTTAGGTTAGGTTCCCTTTCTTGCTCTTTTTTTTGCAAGGGGTATCCATCTCTGTGCCCCTCTTAGGAAAGGCGACGTTGGCGAAGGATGTCTGCTCCGGGAGCAGAAGGCAGCAGAGCTTTTGAGGTCCTTCAGATCATTTTTGGGCACCCCGTTCCCCAAGCAAAGTGCTGTAAGCAGCCAGAAAACCACTCCTACACAAATGGGGGAGGACAGTGCCACTTTCCGAGGGGGAAATACATCCACAACACCGCAGCCTTCCTCCAAAACCCTTTTTTTCCCCACCCAGCCGCTGTCTAGGAGGCGACTGCCTCTGACATGTCTCTGAGCAGCCCTCCACCTCCCGTGGAGCTGGAGGAGAAAAGCATTGCGGGCTATCGAGCAAAATTAGAGCTATTTTGTATTCCTCAGCTACTTTGCTTTGCTGTAACAGGTTTGGTCTCCTCGCCTCCTTCCCTCCCCCAGCCACGAGCAGGCAAAAAGAGGCCTTTGGTAGTTTGTCAGTGGTTTGTGTTATTGTCACCCCATAAAAGCTGGTGGACTAAAACGTCTCTGCAGTGCAGTGTGATGAGCGGTGGGTGTCTTTAGGCTGACATGCAGACAGGCTGGTGGCACAAATCCCACTGCTCTCCAAAGCCAGAATTTGGCTTCGTTTGATATGTAAAGAAACGGTCTACTTTCTTTCTTTTAAGGAATTTTATTTTTATTTCCAGTTTCTGATGAAGCCAGCAAGGCAGGGATGTTCTGACTGAAGAAAAATTTGAGCATTTCAATGCTGTTCTGTAATGACTCTTTTTCTTGGTCCCTTGCTGATGTCCCGAGTCTTTCTGCTTGGCGAAAAAATAGCGAGATGGAAGAAATGCTCTATATGCACATTGTTTTCAGCTGTATTTCACTCCTGCAGTGTCAGACCTGTGTTCCTCAGCTGGTTTTCTCATGTCAAAAGAAACCATAACTTTGCAGAGCATGAGAAGATGTGAGTAAGCCTACCAGGCATCTGCAGGTCCGTCGGGTGAGAAATGACCCCTCAGCAGAGCTTTAGCCACGGTGGTACCTCACGCTTTGTGTCTGCCCCTGCCCACAGCTGTCTGTTGCTGACGATGCTGAACTGAAACGGCTGCAGTGTTTGGAGGTTTGCAGTTTGGGGCATCCAGGCTCAAAATCTCTGCTGGCTCCTCTAGATAATCCATCACGGGCTTCATCTGAATTTTGCTTCTTTGAGCTAACGGTCTGTGTGGCCCCAGCCCACGTCCTAGGCTGTTGCTCTATGAAATAACACTGTTACGCCACTTTTGCCATAACTCCTAAGTTTCAGGGCCCTTTTCTTCCCCGGAGCGGCTGCACCCTGCATTAGCAATGTGCCCAGGGTGATGTGCCTTCCCGGGATGAGAGTCATGCGCAGGGCAAGGTCTGATAAACTGCAGCCTCCCTTGTTACGCGGCCCTGCTTCATCCAGCAAATTAGGGCCATCTCCCTCCTGACGCTCTGGCATTTTCTAATTTCTCAGAAAATGGCTTTCTATGAGAGGGAGACGGTGCTGCCTGTTTTCTTTTCCTTTTAATACAAGCTAGGAGTAAAAGGAGAGTCTATAACACGGGACCATACCGGTGGAACAACTCATGGTGCATCTTGCTCCTTGCAACATGGCTCTGAAGCTTTCCTCCTGGCATCAGCAGCAAAGCACAGACAGGGCAGAAGAGAGAAGTGTCCTTGCTCTCAGTTGCAACGCTCGGTGCAACAGGAGTCCAAAACGTAGCTGCCAAATTATTTTCTGTGCATGTGTGGTCTGAAAGATATTTGGGAGAACAGTTGTCACAAACCAGTTTTGCGAGGAAAATATATCCCTAACGGCAGGGCGAGACCTTCATGGACCAGTCTCCTGCCCTCCCCCAGCCCCTCAGCAACCGGTTTTCAAGGCTTTGCTCCAAAACACTGAGGTCTTTCAGCTTCTGAATGAAATGGCTTTAATTATCGTGAATGTCTCTGCCGGGTGATGCTACAGTTCCCTCTCTTACAACATGCCCTCCCAGATCCGAACAGCTGGTATAATTTGGCCCAGCTCCATGTCCTACTACACAGCTCTGTTGATTTTTCCTAGCTGGGAAAATACAGCTGATATATTCCCGTAAATACTCTTATTTCAAAATATTACGCTATTACCCCTGAGGGAAAAGGGCAACCTATCTTGAAAAGTATTATGTTGGTGGCTTTGTAGCATTTATTAATTTGAAAAAATATCTGTGATTTAATAAAACAGTTTGGACTTAATGCTATTTCCGTATCTGAGGATTTAGGCCTTGCGTGCATCCAGCTGGCTTTATATTTTTTGACGAATTCCCCCCCATCCTCACCCCCTTCCAGTTTTATATCAGTTAGGATGCTCCCCAAGGTAGGCAAACGGCATTCATTATGGAAAACTCCCATCCGATTGTTTAATCTGCGAAACGGAAAGTCTCTTAATCACGCTAAAGCAGGCAGCCCACGAGTGTTTCATGTGCAGCTACAAAAGCCCTTGCTGAGGGGAAGGGGGGGGGGGGGGGGGAAAGGAGGCAAAAATCTGAATACAATTAAGAGTGCCTTTGTCAGGAACGTGATAAAAGAGTCCCTGAGGGACCATCCCTTTTCCTGCTAGAAAACAGATCCCTGCAGACAACCATTAGCATCCTCCAAGTGAGCTGGGCTTGCGCTGCCCAGCTCCGGGCTACCTGCTCGGGGAAGATGCTGGGAGGAGGCTCTCGAGGTACTCGGGGACGTGGGGAGTAAGAGGAAAATTCAGCCCTGGGATCGCTCGTCCTTAACACCCTCACCCCGCCACGAAGGATTTGCCTTCCCTGCGTCGGGCGGAGGCTCGCGAAACACCATCGCTTCGCTCCCAAGAGCAGATGGGAGCCAGCACAGGAACGACTTTGTCCTCTACGCGTGGAGACGGAGCAGAAAACAAGATTTGGGAGAGGGGGAGAAAGAACAGGAAACTTAAAATCCACCTGAGATTAATGACTTTAACATGTACAACATGTTTTGTTTTGTTTTGCTTTGTTTTCCCCTCGGGACCAGTTTCATCAGTCAGACAAAGTTTGATTAAATATCTCAGCAGAGCCGTGGTTTATTCATCTAGAGCAAAAGTTACCCCCTGTTCAGGGAAGCAGCATTAGCTTTGTTTTCTAATTATAAGAGCAACAATAATAATAAAAATAATAACAATGGTATGGATTGTGGATCGTTTTTATTTGCTTTTTGTTAAGAGTATGTGGACTGTATTTTGTCTGTATTGTAAAAATGAAATGAGTTCTTTTACAGATCTTTTCTGGGTTGTGTGGAGTTTTTTTGCTCTTTTAAGTGGAATTTTTCAAGGTATTCACCAGAACCACATGGCCTCGAAATTTCTCTTAAGAAAATAAGAAGGCAGAAGAGGGTATCCAGGAGCCGGGACGTGAAGGGAAATGCTGCAAAGGCTGCAGAGCTTATGAGAAAGCCACCGGCTCCGTAACGCTGTGCTGGGGCTCTTGTGCCGCCATCCACGCGGGGACGAGCTTCAGACCTAAAAATTGTCGTGGGTTGAGTTACTTTGAGAGTCTGCCCACTCGTACAACACAGCGACAACTCAAACGGAGACGGCTCGCACGCTTAAGGCTAAACATGTGTGTAAGTGTTTTTCTGGATCAGGGCCAAAGCACTGAAAACCTTGGAGAACGGAGTCCTCTGAAGGCCACTTATCGATATCTCAGATCTCTCTAAGTGGTAACTGCTGACAAACACGGGCTTTTTAAAATGGAGACCCGCGTTTCTTTCAGATTTTCTAACGCTGGGCCCCAAATTCACTCAGTCTGGGATCGGGTCTGTAGCGTTGCTCAGTGGTGACGAACGATGTACCCAGGCTGGAGCAAAGGTGGGACTATAAAATAAAAACAGGTGAATTTGGGTGCTCACAACCCCATGGTTGTCTGAAGCTCCAGGGGTGTGTGACAGGTCAACTTCAACATCCTTGAGGATTGGCTGCTTTCTCAAAATTCATACTGAATTTCAAAGGAAAGAGAGAT